AATCCTAAAAGACACTAATAACCGTAAATAGAATATCTTGAAAAGATGCAACCCTAGCATTAAAAACCATAAATATATGTTAAACGGTCTTTTTCTGAAAAATACAACCTTTGAAAACAAGCATAAAATGGTTACATTGAAAATATGCAATTTTTGGAAATCGGTTACTTTTGAAAGGACACAACCACAATACAGTTATATTGAAAACGCGCAATCCTTGGAAATAACGATAAAGTGGTTATATTGAAAAAACGCAATCTTTATAAATAATCATAAAAAAATTATTTTCGAAAAAACACAACCATAAAGCGGTTATCTACATATTAAATGCAACATTCGGAAATAATTAGAATACAGTTATATCAAAAAGACGCAACCCATGGAAATAACCATAAAAATGGTTTTTTTTCTAAAAGACACAATCTTAAATAACCATAAAGCGGTTATATAAAAAAGCAACTTTTGACAAAGAGGTTATATAAAAAAAAAGACAACTCTTAGAAATAATTATAAAGCGCTTATATTGAATAAACGCAATTTTTTAAAATAACAAATAAACGATTTTTTTCGAAAAACACAATTTTTGAAAATAACTATAAAGCGATTATTTTCGAAGAAAGCGGTTATCTATATAGTAGATGCAACATTTGAAAATAACCATTATACGGTTGTATCGAAAAAACGTAACTCTTAAAAAGACTGGTATATAAAAAAGACGCAACCCTTGAAAATAACTATTAAACGGTTATTTCCAAAAAGACACAACTTTAAATAACCATAAAGCGGTTATATAAAAAATGCAACTCTTGTAAAATCGGTTATATGGTAAAAACGCAGCCCTTGTCAAAAAAACATTTTTCCTTCCTCACTCATTTCACGGATTGGAACCATAGCTATTCGTCTAAACAATAGAATAATTCATGGATTTTTACACCATTTAAATTGATTCATTTTTAATTTAGAATTTTTAAATCGTCTAATGTATATAAAAAAATATAGTTGATAACCAAATTGCTTGTGGGTGCCTCTATTTTGTAGTAATGTTAATGCGGCTTCAATATTTCTATGTATACAACCCGTAAAAACTTCTTTCAAATATAAAGAATCATTGTTTTCCTAGAGAAATATTAGATTTTATTAGTTTTTTTTATATGTAAAATTTGCCATAAAATCTACATTTTCTAAAAAATCCAAAATTCTTTACACAAATCAAGAACTTTTGGAACTTTTACAATAGTAAAAATTTTAATACTATTAAATAATTTGAAATTAATCGAATGACTTTTTTTATCTTTGCTATGTGTTAAGTTAACTACAGAAACAGTAGGCATGATTAACAAAATGTTCAACGAGATAAAAAGTGAAAAGATATACTCCTCCGTTTCAAAATTTAAGTTGTTTTAGTTAAAGTCGCGAATATTAAGAGACTACTTTAAAAAAAAAATTTAATATATATAATACAAATAATTTACCAAATAAAAAAGAGACTGCAGAATATTATTGGTCACACAGTATTCAGCAAAGTTAAAAAAGTACATAAGATTGTTAAAACAACTTATATTTTGAAATAAAAAGCCTCCAAAACAATTTATATTTTGAAACAGAGGGAGTATATATATAGGCGAAACAGTTTGTTTTAAAAAAAGACGCAATCCTTAAAAATAACCATAAAGCGGTTATGTCGAAAAGACGCAACTCTTGATAAAACGGTTATAACGGAAAGACACAACTTTTCATAAAACAGTTATATCGAAAAGATGCAATTTTTAGAAATAACTACCAAACGGTTTTTTTTATGAAAAGACGCAACATTTCGAAAAGATGCAATCCTTAAAAAGAACCATTATATATAAACCGAGAAGTCACACCCCAAAAATAATATTTTTGGCGTTTGCTATTATATATAGATATAGAAAACACAAATTGCCCAGATGTTACGATATATAAAAAATTTGTTATTAATTGTCATAATCAATACGATAAAATAACTCGATTAACAACAAATATTTCTTTTATTAGAAAAGTAAGGCATAAAAAGTTTTTCTCTCTCGATGAGGCACCGTAACGGCTCTCCCTTTTGAACAAATGGCCGTTACGCTCATCGGATCTCCTTGTTCTCGGTGGTCTCTTGTCGCCGACCATGAACAAGACTCTGTTCGTCGAAACCAGCCACCTTCTCTTGGTGCTCTGCTACGGTTTTGGATGTTCTTCCCAGGTTGGTGGGAGTGTTTTTGCATCAGTGGTCTCAACATCTCTGATGTTCTATACGGGATCTGGGCTGCAATTTCTGTCCCCTATCATGCACGAGTGGATCGCGTCATATCTCGGCGGGATCGATTTGATTACATCCGAATACTCCTAAACTATGAGGATCATACTGCCATTGATTCATATCTTGGGGAACTGAGATATGGAAAGTCTACTTGCAGCGATCAATGTGATTTTTTGAGATCATCACTTATGAATAAGAGAAATCAATTTTGGATTTCCTTAAGTGGTGGCAATCACACAAATCTCTCCCTCGTGATCACTGTGATTCGCCGGTTTATCAATCAAGGGGATTTGATTGGAGTTCTCATGATCAGCCAGTTTTATCTCGCCAATCATCTACAAAAAGAGAAACTGAGATCTCACCTTTTTCATCACGATAGAACTAAGATGGTTTCTCTAACCTTTCAGAATCTTATTCTCTCCATATTTATCATTGCATCTCTCATTATGGCTTACTTTGGTAAGATGGTGGCTCCAAGAGACAAAAGAAAGAGACTGTCACCCATTCAGATGCCCGACTTTGATGACTCAGCAATCATCAAGCAATTCGAGAAGACACTGGTTGGCCGCGTGTTGAACCCGACCGTGTCAAAGCTCTCATTGCGTTCTTACCGGCGGTGTGGCAAAGTGAGGATAGAGTCAAGGGATTAGATATGGGGAAAGGCAAATTCCAGTTCAGATTTGAACAAGATGTAAACGCAAGTGAGGCAAAATAACTAGTGCAGAAAATAAACGACACAAGAGAATTTTTACGA